TACTATGGAACAGTTTAAAAGAATGAACTAGATTTATATATCCTGATTAATAAAATGTTATTAAATTTAAAACAATTTACAGAGCAATGTAAACAGTATGATCCTATTATTAAACCCCATGGAAATAAAAATTGAATACACATATATCTAAATGTAAATGCCTAAAAGGGGAATAGGCTGGGGGTTGAGATGAAGGAGGGCTTTTTAATTTTTTACTCTATATGCTTCATTTTATTTAAATTTTATACTTGATTTCTATACTTTAAATAACTAATAAAGCTTAAAATATGAATTTAAGTAGATAGTAATATTTCTATTTTAATTCATTATAATCTACGTTGTATATTTTCATCTGGTTTCTCCACAATATATAAAATGAAGCCTGTTCATATCTCCTAAAACAATGTTACTAAATAATCCAGTTAGTAATATTTATTGAGTCCTTGCTGTAAGTATTTCCCTATTCTTGGGAGCACTAAGAAGAAACTACTTTAACAGTAGTTTCTATGAATTATTTACTGTGGGCCAGACTCTATACTAACAGTTTTATATCCGTCACCTCATTTAATGAGGTAGGTGGTATGATGCCCATTGTATAGAGGAAGAACCTGAGGATCAGATTGGTGAAGTGTCTTACCCAAAGTGGAACTTCACTTCAAGTCCTGGTCCTTTGAATGTTAAACCACTGCTTATAATCATTTCCTCTGAAACTCTTCACAGGATATGATCTGGGAAAAGGAAATAACCACCGAGTTTTATCTTCTGATCCACATTATGTGTGTGCATCCTTTGTATTTCTCAAGTTACACCAATTGGACCAGACAGCAAATGATAATGACATAAGAAATTCTATCAAATATAAATTGTCTTGTGTTTATTTTTCAGATTCAGGGATCAGTTTACTTCATAAAAAATCATTAGAAAAGGAAGAACTATGCCAAAGACTTAAAGAACAGTTAGATGCTCTTGAAAAAGAAACTGCTTCAAAGCTATCAGAAATGGATTCTTTTAACAATCAACTAAAGGTATTTATCTTTAATTATGTTCATTTTTAGGTAGCTGCCTTCTTACCTTCTTTATTTTGATTTAATAGAATGAATAACCAAAGCTATTATCATTATATGTATTACATTTTCATAATTTCTTTTATAATTTCAACTATACCAGAATTTCAGGATTATTTTCAATGTTCTCTATAAATGTTATAAACATTGTGCTATGTAACTAAACATAGCATTTGCCACAGTTTCTAGTTTTTGATGACTGTGCTGTTTTTATTGACATCTGTACATTTCAAGAATAATCCCTTAGTATTACAGAACCAATCTCAGCCAACATGATCTTAGTCAATATTCTAAAATTGGAAATAAAGAAAATTTAAAATAGTTCAGGTGATAGAGGCTCTTTTAACACATTAAGTTCTTCTTTTGTTTTAGTTACAATGTTTTAGTTACAATGTAATTTAATTAACCTTTATGAAATAGTGTAATAATCAGTGAAATCCAAAGCATGATCTGACACTATAAACTTTGCATGAAAAGTAAGTTCATAATTCATTGTTTGCTACAGTGGCAAAGCAGGTGTCCAAAACATATACTGTGTGCTTATCATTCTGTTCACTATTAGTTGTATGCTGAAGCCAAACCTATGAAAGAAGATAATAAAAGCTAAAAAACAGACTAATGGAATGTAATTCAAATTTGGAAATAGTTATTCCTTTGCTAACTGAATATAAAGTTTTCAAAGCATAATGTGTTTTCTGTAAGAAATAAAGCTTTTCATAAAGCTTTTCTTTAAAAAAGCTGTCTCTTCATATGGCTTTTATCTTTCTGACTTAGAATAACATTAACATCAACTATAGAATAAACAGGATGTTAAAGAAAGGACACCATGGTGGCTTCAGGTAAAGAGGAGAAATTTGAGGTGAATAATGTTAATGATACACTTTACACAGCATATATTCTTTAGAAAAAAAAATAACACCAAATCATTTGTCATTGATGATTAGACAATCCAGCCAACTTATCTTCCCTATATTATTTCTTTTCAAAATCTGTACATAGTTTAATTGGCTTTTTATCTGCCTTATCTTACAGTGTGGGAATATGGATGACTCAGTTCTTCAGTGCCTTTTGTCTCTGCTAAGCTGTCTCAACAACCTCTTCCTCTTACTTAAGGTTATTTTCTAATACCTAGCTTCTTTTCTTTGAGTTACTTTACTGTTTTTTGTTTTAACTAGACTATTCTTTGCCTTTATTTGTTTGAAATAACATATACAATGTAGACCTTTTTTCTTTCTGCTTGCTTGAATATCCTTCTGCTGTCTAACTGCCTGTTTGAGTCTAATGCCAGAAATTAGTAAGGTTGCCCGCAGTAACCTTTCTCACGAGGAGCCCAAAATACTTAGAAATATTACCTGATTCCCTTACAACATCCCTGTGACTGGGTTAACTAATGGGATGATTACTAATTCAATTCAAAGGAAAACTAAGGGAATTTGAGGTTTAATCACCCATATCACTGAAAGTCATTGTTAAAATAAAACATACTTTCTGAAATCAAGGGCAAGGTTATGTCGTGTATATACCAGGCTGCTTCCTAATACTGCTAATAAGAAAAATTTTAAAGAACCTATAATGCAGGGGCAGCTTTAGTTAGGTCTAGTTAGGTCTAGGCCTCATATTTAGATGTGCTTTTACTTCAGATAAAAATGTTTAAATTACATGTATAAATAAATAGCTCCATTTGCCATATATAGCACACAGTATTTAAAATACTCAGTAAATTCCTATTTTAATGTAGTTGAAAGAAAGGTGCTTTACATTTACCACTTGTTGACCCTAGTAGATTTTGACTACATATTCTGCTAGGTACTAAAATGGATGGCGGTAGGATAGTTGCATATGTATTCCACAGTGAAGGCAGGAACATAGGTGAGCTCATTTGTTACCTAAGCAAATGTAGAGCAAATTGAAAAAATGGTAGCAACAGGGGTCCCACGTATTAGCTTTATGGTTGTCACATGAATGGCCAGATTATCTGGTTTTAGAACTTTTGCTATAGATTGCATAGAACCTTAAACCTAAATTTCTTCCTCAGAAGAAATGAGGTTCAATGATGATTTGTGGACTGTACTTACTCACATAGTCTGATTCTTTCAGTTAGCATTTGATTCTCCACAGGCCAGCAGATTATTCTTATCCCTTCTTTTACTTTCTTCCTTCTGCTTCCTGCCTTCTAGGCTTTCGCTGCTTATTCACACTTTAATCAGAGGCAATTTAGGAAACTAAGGGGTTATGAGATCTACACTGTCAGAGTGGTCAGGAGACTGCATTGTCACAGAAAGCAAGAAAAGAAGCCTTCTGTAGTCATCATTGTAAAATGATACAGAATGATCAGTTAACAGAGTACTAAAAGATATTTATTGAATTTGTCAACAAGAAGACCTTTGAAGACCTTGCTAAAAGTGCCATTTCGGTGGAGTGATAAAAAGAAGGTGGATTGCAGTGGATCAGGAATGAATGGGAGTTGAGGAGGGATTGAGTGAGTGTGAACAACTCTTAGGAGGACAGTGAAAAGAGAGCATGGGGATCAAAGGACAAACTTATTTTTGGTTTAAGAAAGACTTGAAGGAAACATCTCTAAAGAGAGATGAAAGGAGGGGGAGAAAACAGATTGAGATTGAATATATAAAATAATTTATGGAGCAAAGTCCTTGGGGAAGCAGATTAAGATAGAATGAAGAGCATAGATGAAAGGATTAGATAAAAAGATTACTTCCAGTGTAACACATTGGAAAAAGATGGATGTGAATGCAGTTAAACTTGTTGGTGGAAAGTAGAAAGTTGACAGCTTCAAGACTTAAAATCAGAAGTAAATTGGACCATCACAAGGAACCTTCCCAGGTAGTTGAGGCCATGGAATAACTCAGTGGAGTCCAGAAGAAAAGGGTACAGGTACGGGAAATTGCACTGATTTTTGAGATGGAAAAATTAGGGATTTCTGGTCTGATGGCCTAATGAGGCAACGTTTATATCTGGTAGGGAAGAGAATGCATGGAAGATTAGGAAGTTTCAGGAGAGAAGTATGCATGAGATAGCAACTCGTTGGGGGATGAGGAAAGTGTAAACTTAGTAGGGGAAAACAGTAGATGAGCAATGTTGAATACCTGTTTGAAATGGGAGGTCATGAATTTAAATTGAAAACAGTATGCCTGATTGTATGATTTTTTTCCACCAGCTTTCAGCTGCTTAGGTGTAAGTACAGAGAATGCTGACGAAATAGGTTCATGGCTTCATACAGTTTTGGAGTTTTAATAGACATGGGCAAAGAGAGTGGGACAAATGAGTTAGAGATCTTGACACGAGAATTATGATAAACTCTGAAATATGAACTGGATGTGAAGGGATGTAAAGAGAGGAAGGGGTGCTGATAAAGAATGGTGGACTCATCAGAACTGGTCTTAATGGGGTTGAAAACCTAATGAAATGGATGTACCAAGTATAAGAATAGTTTGTAGGGTAAGAACTTATGTTTGAATGATGGGATATTTGATCAATGGTGGTTCTGTTTCTGATAATGATGAGACTCAGGGTATGTTAATGGGAACGATGAGGCTGGGCACAGTGGCACACACCTATAGTCCCAGCTACTCAGGAGACCAAGGCAGGAATTTGAGACCAGCCTGGGCAAAATAACGAGACCCCATCTCAAAAAAAAAAAAAAAAAAAAAATAGAAAAAAAGAAGGAAAAAAATAATGGGAGTGATGCATTAAGTGGAGTAAAAAAGGTCATTGATGAGGAGACTAACCCGAGAGTTGAGGTTTTGATTAGGTCATCTATCTGGATGTCAAAGACTTAGAGAATAGTGAGGATGAAAGAATGAGGATCAATGACCAGTTTTCCTTCAGAGAAGATGTGTAGATATATGAGAGTTTCCCCGATCACCAAGAGGAAGCTGCAGGAGAGTGGAGAGATTTGAGGAAAGAATGAATGAAGGATGGGGTCAGCTCAAGGGATAAACAGCGTTATAGAGATAAAAATTCAAGTGATAAAGAATGACAAGAAAGGCTAGGTCTATTAATAGGTGAGATAGAATTGGTCCTGATTGTCTTGGAGGAAGACAGGCACTTAGATCCAGTGCAGTCAGTGTTCCTTTGGGACAGGAGAGCATCTGGGGTGATTGCTCCTGTAGGCTACTTGCAATGACAATAGAAGTATAATATTTAAGATTATTTATCTTAGGAAGTTATATTTTACTGGAGCCTGTAATATACATATTCAGAAGCAATAGTAATTTTTACTCTTTTGGTCAAGTCACACCAAGACAAATAGCGAAGCCAATGGGCTCAAAGGTGAGATGTTTGACAGCCATTATTCCATTAAGAAAATTCACACATGATATTCTGTCTTTAGCAGTGAAGTGCAGTGAAAAAAGTACTGGCCTAGGAATCTGAAAATGTGAATTTTAGTCCTAGTCATGCCACTTGCTAGTTGTGTTAACTATTTGTCATTTCCCTCCAAATTTTGCTTTCTTCGTTTATAAAATGAAGCTGACATTATTTGTCCTGTCTTCTTCACAACATCTTATGATGATTAAATGAGATAGCATATATACTGAAGTGCTTCGTAAACTCTTATGTACTATCCAAATATTTTTATTATTATTAGGGAAGGGTTGTCCAGAGCCTCCAAAATACTTTTAGTGTGTTGGAAAGTCACCACTGTTGGTTTTAGATAATGACTGGGGAAAGCAGAATCTGTCTGTACCAGAATTGTGGCTTCCTCCAGGGGGTTAGTTCTTATTCTGTGCTCTCAAGGATCTGGGCTAACCTATGTTAATGATATCCCTCCAGGTGGCAAGGGGAGATTTTGATTTATTTAGGTAACAATAAGGCTAACTCGGGGATGAGGAATACTAGTGCTTTGGATTGTAAGTAAAAACTTTAATGAGCTATGTACTCAGTGTTAGAGAAAACATTACCCAAATCCATATTAAAGAAGTGTTCCCTTCCTTTCTTCGGAG